TAATTATTTTAAAAAAATCTTTCCTTTTCTTCCTGAGACTGGTGAGGCCCCGCCTCCCCTGCCTCTAATGACTGCACGTCTCTGCAAAGCATTAATAAAGAAAAGTTTCATTCATGGTCGCTACTTACTTATTATTGAAAAACATGTATTTCATTAAGAAGCTGTGTAAAGTTTTGCTTTCCTGTAAGAGGCCTGTATTTTTTTAAACCTATTGACATTCATATATTTTATAATCATTTTTTTTCCATTTTCTAGGCTGGTATCCAAAATAACCCGGAGTATAATACCTGCCTGAAAAAAGCTCATTCATTTTTTAAATGTTCTCAGGTAAGAAGCTGGCTTGGAATAACATACTAGACATTAATATTGATTTTAAAGGAGTACCCTCAATTTGGTTTCACAAGGGCAGGATGTAGTAATTGCAGTTGTTTAAAAACCATGTCATGCATCATGGGGGCTGTTTCAGTAAGCAAATACTTTTTTAAAGATATCCGCTAATTCCAAATCCAGTTTTAAAACTGTTTACTCAAAGACTAGTTGCTCCTTTGGGCTACCTATCTCTCAATGGCTTCTGATCATAATTTACAGTTTTGGCATTCGTGCTGGCCAGCTGAAAGGGCAACGCCTCATGTGCCCTGACAAACAGCTCCGCATGCCACCTTTGGCACGCGTGCCATAGGTTTGCCATCACGGGTCTAGTCAGTCTCAAATTAGTAAGAGGTCAATGACAAACCATTTCCAAAAATGAACTTGACTCAGTGAGAATCAAGATAGACTTGAAAAAAGTAATCCTTACTGCAATATGCATCACAAACCTGTTGGTAGCGGGGGGGTCGGTACTGAGTAACAGCCTTCACTTTGTTGCATGGACATGGTATCAGATGTACCCAAACATGTTTTTGCCATTGTAAATTGCCTTGAATTAAGATGCTATTAATGCCTTCTTTAGATTGTGGATAATCCACCCAACTACCAGAGATACTACCGTCAAATGAACAAGGTACTTTCAAAATCTGATCGTGTATAAAACATAACTGATAGAAAGGACACCTCCAGAGGTCCAACTAATAGAATTTATAAAGAAGAGAGAAATAAATATTTGATATTTAGCTTTTCACATTTTCTCTTAAATCAGCAGCCCCCAATCTTTTGGGCACCTGGGACCGGTTCCATGAAGGGCAGTTTTTCCATGGACCTGGGTGAGGGTGGGGAATGATTTCATGCGCTGTCTGGGTCCTGTGCATGCACAGATGGGGCTTTGCTTTCCTACGTGGCCTGGTTCCTGACTGGCTGCGAACTAGTGCCAGTTTGTAGCCAGGGGGTTGAGAATGCCTGCCTTAAATAGATATTTGTGGTCCAGAAATGCCTTTCCTAAAAACCTTAATTAATTCTAGTGAAAGAAAAAAACTAATTTCTTCTAATTTTTTACCAACTTGGCTATATCCTTGAAGAAGACTCCAAAGTATGTTCCAATGTTTTGCTTGCTTTTATTTGTTTCCTCTAAGCCAGCGATGGCGATCCCTTTTTGGCTCGCGTACCATAACTGGGGGGAGCACAGGGGGGGGGCGTGTGCGGGCATGCTGTACCCATAATGCAATGTGTGACCCTCCCAGTGTGCATGCGCGCACTACAGGCGCTCCCCCCATTTTTTGCATGCTTTTTTCGTCCTCCCCAGGCTCCAGAGGCTTTATAGGAGCCTGGAGAGGGTGAAAACAGCCTCCCTGCCCCCTGGAAGCCCTCTGGAGGCTTCAGGGACCTTCAGGAGGCTTCCCTGAAGCCTCCGGAGTAGTCAAACGATCCTCCGAGCCGGTGCTCGGAGGGTCGTTTTTACTGCTCCGGAGGCTTCAGGGAAGCCTCCTGAAGGTCCCTGAAGCCTCCAGAGGGCTTCCAGGGGGCAGGGAGGCTGTTTTCACCCTCTCCAGGCTCCTATAACGCCTCTGGGGCCTGGGGCGGACGAAAAAAGCATGCAAAAAATGGGGGGAGCGCCTGTAGTGCGCGCATGCACACTGGGAGGGTCACACATTGCATTATGGGTACAGCATGCCCGCACACGCCCCCCCCCTGTGCTCCCCCCCCTTATGGGACGCGAGCCAAAAAGGGATCGCCATCGCTGGCTTAGAGGAAACAAATAAAAGCAAGCAAAACATTGGAACATACTTTGGAGTCTTCTTCAAGGATATAGCCAAGTTGGTAAAAAATTAGAAGAAATTAGTTTTTTTCTTTCACTAGAAT